ACGGTTTTGTGGGGGACCTTGAACCCTGCCTCCCTCTTGGCAGTTTCCTCTACCGCCAACCCTCTGATCGCCCTGTCCTCGACCACCAGAGGCCCGGCCCCCTTGGCCCCGACCTCCCCCTCTTCCTTGCGGCCTCCCTCCAACCGCGACAATAGCATAAGTCCTCCCCTGACTAGTGTCATTGTCTTCTTCTTCTAGGCCCCATTCAATCTACTGTAAGGGACCTCTTCCATATCACTCTCATCTAGGGTAAGGATCAAATGATCCGTGGCCTTGACTTGACCTAAGATGGTATGCCCTTTCCACTTTTTGCCTTTATCAAGGTCCTTATGCCAGAAAGTGGAAGTTGGCATGGACTGAGCCTCAAAAGCCACCACTTCCCAACTCAATGTATCGTAGGTCATGGTTGACTGTCTACTCTTCTAAAAAAAGTGCCCGCTCAAGGGCTCAGGAATGGCACGATAGAATAACTGGACCAGTTGGGTCTCAATGACCCCATGTCCGGGGATGGCGACTAATTCGTCCATAACTCCTTTGAGTGCCCTAACACTCTTCCATTGACGTGAGTGGATGGTTTGCAGCTTATCAGAGGCTCTAATCCCCCTAGTGACATCTGCAAACCTCTCGCGGAGTAACCTGTAAAATTTGCTTAGGGGTGTGATTATGGAGTATGCTACTATATCATTCTCACACACGGCGGCGAGGGCAAGCGATCGGGCGAAGCTAGACGCTTCATCCTCAAGGGTGTGAAAGGCAATGAGGATTTGCTCCTCAGGTAGGATCTTTTGGAGGTGAACGTAAGAATTAACATTCGCCTCCCAATTATCAAAGTTCTCTTCCTTTTTCCCACTGTAGGATCCAGGAAGTTTGACCCTCACTGGCTCCCTACGGGGGCGGGGTTCCTCCTCTTTGGGAGCTGCCAACTTGACTCCCTCTATGGCACCTTTGTAAAACTTCTCCATATTTGTTAATCGGGCTTGCATCTCAGTGCCCATAAGCATCATCATATCGTGCGCAAAATCTCTAAAACCTACGTGCATGGACTGCAGGCCTATATCATGGCCCCTCAAATAACTCATCTGCTCCTGATGAGCTCGAATAATCACTTCCACGCTCTTGCCGATGATCTCCACTTTGTTTTGGAGTTCCACGTGCGTGGCCAAACTTGCATGTTGCTCCCCTGCGGCGGCCAACTCTTTCTCCAACAATGTTGCCGCCTCTATGCGCCTCCTTCTCTGCCTCCTAAGGCGCAACTTCCACTCCATCCTTTTCTCCTCCTCCAATACCTGATGCTGCAGGGGATCCTGCACCGCCTGCATCCCTCTCATCCTGGGGAATATACACCATAGCCTCTTCATCGTCTCTTAGGGATAAGTTAGCCACCCACTCAGTCACCATCTTTTCCAACTTCTTCTCCTCCTCCGCCGTGCCACTAGACTCCCCTTTTTCTGCCCTCTTGACATTTCCCTGCAGGGGAATCTCTTTTTCTTCTTCTTCCATTGCCTTAAGTTTTTTTTCTTCTTTTTTCGTCAATCTCTCCATCTCCTCCAACTTTTTCTTCTTCGCCGCTTGCGCTTCCAATTAAGCCTGCTTTAAGTTTTTCTTTTTCTTCTTTCTTCAGTCTCTCCATCTCCTCCTCCAACTTTTTCTTCTTCGCCGCCTGCTCTTCCAATCAAGCTTGCTTCTTCAACTCCTTTTCCTTTCTCTCCTTCAACACAGCAACGAACAGCTCTTTCTGCTCCTTTGTATACGGGGTGGTGGTTCTACCGCTTCGCAGGTCCACCATGGTGAAAGGTGCACAACCAAGTGACAGTTCCACTCCCCACCACTTAGACTTCCACCCACTGACTGACTGACTAACTGGCCGACTCTCTATGGACCACAGAGTCCTCCCCTTTGTTCCAACCAGGTTACCACAGCCGACGGAAGCTTTCGCCACCACTGTCCTTTACAATCCTCGAACCAGATGCCCTGCACCTGCGCTCAACCCACCTGGCTTTCACTCCGGGTCAGAACCCTGTCAACTAGGGTCTCTAGCCTAGACTTATGGCTATGGCTATCACTATAGGACTTCACTGCTGATCAGGAGGCACTTAAGGAGATCCCCCATAACTCCTCAGGAATTTTTTAACGTCGCAAACAGGACGACGCGATCAAGAAGTCCTCTCAAGACTTAAACAACTGGTTGTGGAGCCCGCAGCTGGGGAAAGATTAGTTTGCATTTTGATCCACTGCAAGGTCTGATGATCTGAGTAGACCTTGAAGTGGCGACCCAAGAGGTAGTGCTTCCAATGTATGAGCGCCTCTCGCAAGGCATAGAGCTCACGCATGTACGTGGAGGTAGCTACCTTGTGGCTGGGCAATGTGTTTGATGTAATATTCGAGCGGGCGCAGACCATCGCCATCATCTTGCTGCAGCACTGCGTCAATCCCATACTGGCTCGCGTCTATAGTGACTACGAACGTGAGGTTGGGATCCGCAATGCGGAGCACAGGATGACTTACCAAAGCCTCTTTCAAGGCTTGGAATGCAGTCTCACATTTCTCACACCACGCATAAGCAATATTTTTGTTGGTTAGTCTCGAGAGTGGGTGAGCAATGACATAAAATTTGGGAACAGACTTCCGGTAATACGAAGCCAAACCAAGAAAAGAACGCAGTTCGCGTACGTTTGCCGATTGAGGCCATTTTCATATTACCTCAACCTTGGTTGCCTCCGGCTCAAAGCCGTTTGCAGACAAGCGGTGCCCAAGATAGATGACGATGTCCCTTCCAAACTCAGATTTCTCTAAGTTGAGGTGCAACTGTGCTTCCTTGAGGACCTGCAAAACCTCCTCAAGGTGCTTGACGTGCTCTTCCATAGACTTGCTGAAAATCAGGATGTCGTCAAGGTAAACAACAACAAACCTGTTGAGCTGATGGCGAAGAACCTTGTCCATGAGGCACTGAAATGTGGTTGACGCATTCATAAGACCGAAGGGCATAACGATGAATTCGTACAGCCCATCGCGCGTTCTGAATGCAGTTTTGTGCTGGTCGCTCGGATCAACTTCAATCTGGTGCTAGCCAGACTTGAGTTCGATCTTGGAGAGCACCTTGCACCCACCTGCCGCATCTAGCAGATCATCTATGCGAGGCAAAGGATAAACATTATTTTTGGTGATCCGATTTAGGCCACGATAGTCGATACACATTCGACGTTTGCCTCCTTTCTTTGGCATAAACAGGACAGGTGCACCGAACTCAGACTCAGTAGGCCTACTCCATCCACGATCAATCATATCGTCAATTTGTCTCCTCAACTCCTCCAACTCGCCTTGTCACATACGGTAGACGCAACCCTTTGGAGGAACACTCTCTTCTATTATCTCGATCTTGTGTTTGACCGGACGCTTGGGAACTCCACGAGGTTCAACCAGAACTTCAGTAAATCGATCTAATAGACGACGAATGTGTGTTGGGACTTTTGGTGGAGGATCATCCTCATCAGGAGAGAGAAAATCAAATTGAGAATTTACAACAATTACAACTGAATTCGGAGTACTTGAATCGGAAGTAGACTGATTTTGTAGTAGAAGTAGATGGAATAGAACTAGAGATAGTAGAAGTAGAATTACTTTTCGAGGTTGAAAATGCAGCAAAAGTAGAAGGCATATGAAGGGGCTCACAAGGGCTACATGCACATGCTTAGCTTCCTTGCGCATGTGCACCGATTTGCAAAATTTGTTTGCACTCAAAGGAGTCACTGGGGACTCGCGGGTCTCGTCCAATAGAACGGTACGCTAGTTCCCCTTTGCATTATGCACCACGAACTGAATAGCCGCCCACGTGGTCCTTAGACAATGAGCCTTTAACCAGCCCAAGCCAATTACCTCGTCGAAAGGACACTTGTCCAAGATGTAGAAGTTCAGTTCATGTGTAACAACGCGATCCTTGTCAAAGGTGACGCGCACACCTTTGACAGCATGTGTTGAGGTGACAACCTGTTGGTTGCCTACCTGGGTCTGACAAGGGTTCTGCAATTCGACTTGCTTCATTCCCAGACCCGCCTTACGAATCCCGTTAGGAGAAAATAAGTTAGTCGTTGAGCCATTATCAATCAGCACGCGGATGTATCAGCGGTTAATGAGCAGCTTAAAGAAGACTAGTTCCACACTCTGTTCAACACGGCGTTGCTGCTTGAGCTGCAACCAATGTTCCAGGTGAGAGTGGAAGTTGACTTCCTTAGTCTCCTCTTAAGGCTCATTGTAAAGTACTTGGACTGCAACAGCCTTGGTTTCAGCATCAGCCCGGGCTTCAAGAGTCGGCTGTTGATCAGATTCAGGCTCCTTGGAGGGGCGTGCAGTTGACTGTTCATCTTCCCTTGTTGTAGAGAGTGTTGATAACTCTTCTACGCCCTTTGCCTGTTTCCCTGCAGACGATAACATTCATGCACAACGTGCCCAAGCTTTTGACAATGCAAGCACACGCGCAGTTTGGATCTTCTCTCCCATTCCTTTTGACTAATGCGGAGGGCTTCCCAAAGTTTGGTGGAAGCATCCACCGGTTTTTAAAAAATCCTTGCATTCTTGGGGAGGTGTGCTATAGTTCCCCTACCCGAACCACGGTTAGGCCCCTTGCTTGAAGCAATATTTTTGAAGGCATTACGTTTTTCTCCTTCATTGATGTCAGACTTAAGGGCTGATGTAGAACAACCCATATCAGAGTCCGGCTCTAGATCGTCATCTTGAGACAGATCATCCGCGTAGGACTGATCCTCAGCCTCCAGATGTTCATGCAGGGCAAGCTAGTTGCTGCTTCTGTACCGCTTGCGTCGTAAGGTTCTACCTGCAGAGGGTGTCTTCGCACGCCTGGCGAGGTCTTTAGCTTCCAGGTTGACTAGATTTGTCAGTAGCTCATGCCAGAACGTGCAGGAGTTACTTTCAGTCACTCAGTCAGGTCAATCCTCTCATAACCTGCGATAACAGCTTGGAGTTCTACGAAACTCCGTACGGCGGGTTCCGTATTTGTGCCCATGATCATGCTTCAGTCTTCCTACGGTGTTCGCAGTATCTCGAAGTATGAGCGCATGGAGCTGATCCAAGAGGTGATGTCCCCCCTCCCGTCGTACTTGGACGACAGTGTGGGGGCTCTCTTGTCCACCATGGGACCGCTGTATTGTACGCCAGTAAGAGCTGCGACGTTTTGGGCTGATGTTCCTGCATTTGGGACTGGGACCAGTGCAAAACTGTCGACGCTGTCGCTTGAGGAGTTGGCACCGGTTCCTCCACTCGTCACAGTTCCACCTGCTCTCTGCATGAGGACTGTGTTACAGTGAGAGACTGGGACTGCAGCAGGACGAGGATTTGGAGGACGAGGGGCAGCCAATTGGGCTTGTTTGAGGCTGACGATCTCAGCCTACAGCTCTTGGTTCTGCTGCTCTAGAGCTGTCACACGAGACTCAAGGTCTTCCAAGGTCGCAGTCGAACCAAGGCTGCTACGACAGCAGCTAGTTTCTCTTGGAACCGGCCATCACTAGATTCCGGAACCTCGAGGAGGGCCACTTGTGTAGCGATACTTGTGGCTTTGGCTGCTGCTCGTGCCTCCCTCTCTCTGTGTATCGCGTCCTCGTAAAGTGTTTGGAAAAACAGTTTCTCGCTCTCGTTCGTTGCGTCCAGCATGACCTGCCACTGAGCAGATGACATGTCTACCATGCTGGAGGATGGGGTGTCAGTAAATCTCTCAAGAGGGGTCCGCTCTTTGCTCACGTTTGGACAAACACTCCTCTTACCCCTCCTCACACTCTCAAAAAGAATACCTTCTCTCTCCCTTCTCTCTCTTTCCGCTTTTTGCGCACGCATCTCAATACTCTGACATAGATAGTTCAGATAAAAGAAAAACAATAAATAAACAAAAAGCAAAAGGTAGAAATCCTAGCCGGAGCGGCAATTCATTTGGACTTCGAGAATGGCATTCACGCAGCAGAATAAAAATAAATAAATAAAAACAAATGAAAGAGAGGACTGACTTAACGAACGGACCCGATCAGATTAGTTGGAGATCCCCTCTTGTCTAACCTGACAAGGAACATGTATCATGAATAAGTCAGCTGAAGAAAGCTAACTGCAGCAATGGAGATTTCGAGGGGTGTAGACGGTAGCCAAGCCAGGCGCGGGGCGGTATGTGAGAACATGTAGTAAGACCAGTCATGGTCCCCTTGAAAGGAATGTCCTTACTAGCCATGTGTCCCCCCAGATTCAGCACGGCAAAGAGATGCGTTGACGGCAGCAGATTTGGGTCCTACATCTCCTGTCTCATTGGGCCTGGTCCCACTGAGTCCCGAAGGGTCCAAGTAGGTCGTTGACGAGGACCAACTAGATAGGTGTGCCAAGTTAGTCCCAAACTGCCTCTACCGTACTGAAAAGGAAAGACAACTTTCAGCAAGAACCTACCCCTACAGCCGTTCAGAAGTGAAAAGACAATGCACTGTAGAAGGATATGTCATTGAGAACAAGATACATCATCCATCCATCCATCCATCCATCAGGTGAGAAAGCAATCCACATGCTCACACACACAACCAAGACTGCAGAGAAGAGGGAGAGAGCCCAGCACACCCCAACAGGCCATGAAGCACCAAGCAACCTCCCACGGGCATACCCAGGTCACACGACACTTATCTGTGAGGCCCGGCCTCCAAAGATGGATAACGACTCACCCCCCTCTCTCATAGGTCCTCCCGACCCCTAGCTACCACTACACGAAGTGTCCTAGCATGACTAAGAGGGCCTCCCTACACCCCTATTACAACGCCGGATCCTCCGTCGATGTTTGAAGACCAAAGTAGCAACTTGCAGTTCTTTGATGCAGATATGGCAGCCTCCGATCAAGTCTCCCTCTTGAGGGGAAGCCCAAAAGTCACTCAATGTCGTCTTGAAGTGCAGATCCCAGGTGCGAGTACCTCTCACTCTCTACTCCCTCTCGCTTACTCCAATCAGCCTCCTTTGTGTCTCGCCAACCCATTCAATCACACAAGCAACCTGGTCAGGTCTGATGTTGACCCTACATGACCTAACCAGGTGGGGGCAGCATCCACATATCTCACTGCCCCTCTTAACCCTAACTTCCAACCCTAATCCGAGATTAGGTTAGACCTATCCTAATTCGGAATTAGGTTTAGGGTGACTAACACCGCTCTCCAGCAAGTAAGTCCGCTCCGATACCAATTGTTACGATCCTGGTCATTCCCAAGGTGCAAATTCACAATGAAAGACATTGCCACCCAATTGCGAAAGAAATGAAAGCACTTGCAAAGAGATAGAGACCAAAGAAGAGAGAGAGAAGAAGAAGAAGAAGAAGAAGACGAAGAAGAAGAAGAAGAAGAAAAAGAAGATGTACACCAGCAAGACCAATGACAAATCCCCCTTCTCACTCCACCTTCCTCCTCCTCCTTCACTTCGCCAATCTTATTCTTCTTCCAATAATAATAATAGCAATGAGTGGATGAACCGGAATCAATATCCGAAGTTCCCTCCTACTGCCGACACAACAATAGGTCCCCCATAGCTATGGCTTCCCCCCTTCTTCCACCTCTCACATGCCTAGGCTATGGCGGACTACTGAGGGCTCCGCCCTCCTGTGCAAAGGACAACGCAAAGGACAACCCAAAGCAGCTATGCCACTGCTGACTAAGCCGCCATGCCTGACTCTGCCTCGAGCTTCCTTGGTGCAGCATTACCCCAACTGGGGCCTTCCAGATGCAGCACCCCACAAGGTGATGAAGATGGTGTCCACCATAGCCAGGTAGGTACCTCGCCACTCTCCTCCTTCGCCCACTTCCTCCTCCTCCTCAAGCTGGGCTGCTCGCCATAGCGAGGCCGAGCGCCCAGCTGCCCTTCTCCTCCAGGCAGCGCTGCACAAGTCCAGCGCTTGGCTCCAGCAGCATGTCGCCAATCCTTGCATACCGCAAATGAGGAGGAGCTGCTTGCTCCTCCCGAAGATATAGCGGTCTACTGGCCTCTTGGGCGGTGACTTCGTAGGCCAAGCGGCCTCCCAGCAACCGGTACCTCCTCCCTTTCGGAGGGAAACATCATTGCAGGCTCTGCTATCGTCCGGATAGGCCCTAGACGCAGGCTACTTGGACTGGTACCGGCCTACCTCTAACCTACCGCTACTGGGCCTCTAAAAATGCCAACTTTTTGTCTTCTTCTGCTCGGCCTCCAGTACCCGACACTTCTACCACTACTTGAGTGGTACCGGCCTACCTGCTACTTGAGTATTTTTCCCGCTGTTCTAAGTGTCGCGGGCCTACCCCCGCTACTTGAGTGTTTTCCCCGCTGCAACCCTCACAGTCACGGCCACAGGTAAGTACCGGCCTTGCGAGGCCTTTCAACCAACAAGTACCCTTGCGGATCACACACACACTCAGCCGACAAGCACTCAGACAGGCACGCAAACCAGCAGGCACGCACACACACACAGACTTAGAAATCACAGCAGAATGCGGGAATCTCAGCAAGGCATTCATTCCAGTGACAAATCCCAGAAATCAGCAGTGTTCTCAGTCTGTGTTTTGGCGGGTCATTACAAAGAGAGATTTCCATCGAAAGGATGATCAATGCACCGGCCAACAGTTAAGTCTCCAACCCTGGGATCGAATGAATCTTCGGGTAGTACATCGAAATATACACTACTGCGCACGTGCACACGGGCGTGTGTGTGTGTGTGTGTGTGTGTGTGTGTGTGTCACACACACACACACACACACACACACACACACACACACACACACACACACACACGCACGCATACATAAACAGTTTAAGCGGATCACACGTAAGCAAAGAAGGACGGATACAGGACCAGGAGACGGGACCTTATGGAGCAGGTAAGGAACAGGGGATAGGGAACCCCAAGTGGGCATGTACATGAACTAAGGAAGCGGGGGAATAGGTACGGGACCTCTCCGGAAGGGATTGATGTTCCCCACTCCCGCCCACCGTCCCAAATAATAAGAAACAAGAAGTAAGGGTTGGGATGGACTGCAACCTATTACCGGTCCTCTTTCAAGGAAGGGGAAGGCGGACCAGGACCTGTTCCCAGGACGTACCCAGCGGGAGTTCGGGACTCTTGCGAACGCCGGGCACACGAGACATCCTTGGGAGGAACCGGTACTCGAGATATCATGAGCAGGCGAGGACTAGAACCAATGCAGGGGACAAGCCCGGATTCGAACCCCGCACGCGCCCGAGCCTCGGAGTATCTACGAGCCGGACACCTGGAGCGGCGCTCGATTTGGAGCCAAAGCCAAGCATCCCGTGCCGGGGACATGCACTGATCTTCTTAGGGCTCCTAAGGATCCCCGAAAATAACCGCCCAGAGGCTGGAAGATTCAGGAAGAGAATACCCCGCTCAAATTCCTCACCACTGATGAACGAACCTGGACCAGCCATAGAACTGGATACGAACTGCTCTCTGGCCAGTGATCTCGAGGAAACTTGGTCCGTTGAATTGTTTTGGAGGAAGCAACTAAAAGGACAGCAGTACTACTGCCCCCGATAGCATCGAACCTGTTGGATCACTTGTGACGTGGAAAAGCAATTCCCCTGCCCTCTCGATGTCTTCCGAACCCCAGCGATTTTTGTATATATTCTGGATATGACAGCTTGCATGAGTATGCGAGTGAGTTTGCTCGGATTGCTGCGTATGTTCAATACCTACTAGCGGGCACTTGTGAATTGGCGTTGGTCCGGTTGACCATGGCGGACTGGGACTCCTCCACTGGAGTTGACGAGGATTTTGCGCTTACGCCTGATGCTGAAGAGGAAGCACGAACGGCGGAGGAAGCGGTATACCATCCTTGTTCCTACTCTGGGCTTGCATGTGGGCTATGGCTGGCTGTGTATGCTCCGATTGGGTGGATGTCACTTGTGTTGTTTTTTGCAGGATGAAATAACCCCTCTGACAAGCCGGATCTGTGGCGACGGCGAAAAAGCTTTTAGGGGACGCCACACCCCTCCTGCCAGCGTGAGAATCTACTTGGAGTTGTGAGGTCACCTGTCAAACATGCTACCTAGCCGCCATTTGGACGGACCTTCCCGATTTACTGCTAAACGCTAGTGGGCTTGATATGAAAAGCGGGATGACTGAGAATGATGATGGGGGTTGGGAGGTATGAGCTTGAGGAAATGTTTGGAGTTTGCGGATTTACCAGGGGTGGGTAGCGGAGGAATTTTGGTTGTCCGTGGCCATGGGAGATAGAAGGAGGTGATGGTACACGGGAAAGAGGGAATGGGGAGGTCATGATGAGAAGCTGGGTGGAGTGGAGGAATGCTGCACTTCGGGGCTTTCTCGCCGTAAGCAGAGAAATTACTGTTTCTCAAAAGGGTGGAGTTGTAATTTGCTTTCTGAGCGAGCTACTCATAATGTATGATCTCTTAAGATTGTTATAAGCAAGTGTGGATTTGCCCTTCACCAAGCTCTCTCGGTATCTTTAAATACGCCTCACCACTCCTCACTTTTATGGATTCTGATGTGCAAACAATTTGTTTTTTTCATGATGAGAATCGCCTGAACCCTCTCACCACTGTCTGCTAACAGTCGACGCTTCACGAAAGCGTTCGTACTACTAGTGGGCGACGCGTGACTTTCACTACCCCCTAGACTTGTCTGACTTGATTGGCATGGAATTATGTACGACATGCTACGTATGTTTTAGGAGGCTCCATGGCTTAGCATGTGGCAATAATGACGTCAGTTTGGTTACGGTCGGGCCAAGTGTCCCATGAATGATATGGGGTCCATGACGTGTTACGTCATGGGTTATGATTGGACACACACACACACACAGAGCGAGAGAGAGAGAGAGAGAGAGAGAGAGAGAGAGAGAGAGAGAGAGAGAGAGAGAGAGAGAGAGAGAGAGAGAAACAGAGGGTGGGAATCAGGCGGGAAGGCCCAGCAGGAAGGAGGAGGACGAAAGAAGACATGTTGACAGATGCCATCGAGATTCGAAGAAGAAGGAGAAGCATATGGTCTCAATCAAGATGGATGAGGGAGGAAAAATGAACACTTTCGGGAGAAAAAAGAGGGAAATTCATAGCAGAAACTCCATTCATGCAGTTGAGGACCACATCACTGAATTGTCATTTTTGTCCATTTTTTGGAAAAAAAGAAAAGCAAATTCATGGCAGCAAATGATGATTCAATACAATTCCTGCAATCTATCGATCACATGCATGAATCGAGGTTCGGTCCAAATTGGGGAAAAAGAAAAGAAAAGAAAAAAAAGGTGCCATCAGCGAGTGTTGCTGTGCGCCATGGCAGTGTCCACTTGTATTAAAAAAAAAAAGAAAAGAAGGAAAAACCAAAAACATGCAGACACGCGTCTGGTTAGGATTAAGGTTGACATTTGGTGGTTTTGCAACAACACACACATGGTGCCCATTCCTTCTGTGCCCTACGATTCACTATTTGCCAGTATTTGATGAATAGTGAATAGGTTCCGGACAGGTCTATAAGGTGACTCAGATGGTGCAGTGACAGCGGTGTTATTTTGTGCGGTGGTTTAATGTGTTTGCTGGTTCCCCTTTTCTGCTGCCACCAGACGGATGTGTTGGACAGCGAGGCTGCAAATTAGAGAGAAAACCACGTCGTGAATTTCTGAAAGCAAAGTCCAGCTCATCCAAGTTCGTCAGTCAAGTGGTGCTGGTGTGTATGGAATATTGGCTTGCCTTGCATCTTTGTCTCCTGGGAAGAAGTCGTGTGCTTATTTGGTCTAATCTTTTGATGCAGGCCGTTTATCAAATATTTGTTCTTCTGTTGCTGCAATATACGGGAGAGGACGTGTTTGATGAGCCGAAGGACGTTATAAGGTCTATGATTTTTAATGCGTTCGTTTTTTGCCAGGTATCATTTAGCGACTGTAGCCATCTAATTTGCTGCCGTGTGCTTCTTTGCCCCAGTTGTGTTTCTTTTCCCTTTCCCTTGCATTCCATCTCCCCTCTCTCAGCTTCCTCTCCCTGCGTGCACAACTTGGTAAAGCACCAGCATCAGGTGCCCTAGGCTCTGTGTTCTGCTATTTTATTTCCTGTGTATGTTCTGTTTGAAATCAGACTCGTTCGCTTTCTCACTCCGCATGCATGAAAACAGATGACAATCACACTGGCGCCGTGCGCCCACACAAAGCTCAGAGATATCTAGACCAAGAACACAGTTCAGATTTAAGCTTGCTTCAAATGGCTATGGCGCCTGTGCGCCCTCACAACCCCCTTCCACACTGTATCCTCAGCAACTGTTTACATGCACGCTACTCTGGATCTCCCTGGATGTTCCACACATGCTCGCACTGCCCTGCACACTCACACATACACTCGTTACAGACTAACTCTAGCTTATGGCAGCTATGGCTGCCTTCTACCTAGCTGCTGGCTGCGATGGCCACTCCTCCCTTGCAGCCCACTCCTATTTCGGGCAGACCACCTTGCACAAGATGCTGGGTGTGGCATACTGCGTAGCCACACGGGCCCTGCAGGGCCCGTCCCGGACATTCAGCCTAAAAACCTAAAACTTAGGGCTTACAGGCCCCGGTCGTTTCAGCCTGAAAGCTGAAAAACGAGGGCCTGCAGGCCCTACCCCGTTTCAGCCTATTTCTGGGTCTTCTCAGACCCAGAGTTTTCAGGCTGAAACGACCGGGGCCTGTAAGCCCTAAGTTTTAGGTTTTTAGGCTGAATGTCCGGGACGGGCCCTGCAGGGCCCGTGTGGCTATCAGCCTGAAACGGAGGGCCATTTTCAGGCCCTCATTGTTTCAACCGCCCCTAAGACTCAGGCACGTAAACAGGGATACGGAACAGGCCAGAAATAGCMTGTTCCTCACGAGTTTGAGCAGGAGCTGCAGCTGCAGCCCCTGCCTCCCTTCGACAGGCTCAGGAGGCACACCCGGTAGTACATAGGAAGTTCCCATGCACTTCACGGGTAGGYAGTTTCAGTAGGCACGAGTAGTCTTCAGGATTTCGGCCGCAGCACTCAGGAGGAGCGCTGCAGTAGTCTTCAGCGCTAGGTAGTATTAGCGCTAGCTGTAGTCTTC